GGAGTAGATGGGGCATGGGGGGGCAGCATCGTGTGGGGTACAGTGTATGTGGGAAGCACTGCAGAGCCCTCACAGCACCTCCCCGTTTCTGGGATGGAGGAGTAGATGGGGCATGGGGGGGCAGGGGATAACTGATCAGAGGACATACTCTGTAGGAGATAGGGGTTGTGCTCACCTCACTCTTCCATGTGGCCTTCTCTGGATATGCTGCCCATGGGTCCTTGTGTCCTCAGCAGGTTTCCTAAGGCATGGCAGGCTCAGGCAGAGAACTCATGGATCATCCATGGTTCCAGAGTTCTCCATTACCTGAGGGCCTTGGACCCCACCTTTGCTGGGGCTCCTCTGGGAGAGGGCCAGGGAGAGGGAGGCCTTGACTCAGCATCCCATCCCATCCCCATGCCTTTTCCGCCTGCTCTACCCTCCCAGGCCTTTAAAATCCCTGGCTTCGAAGGCCAGATCAGCTTCATCACATCCATGTCTGAGCATTTCTGTGGAACCTGCAACCGGCTGCGGATCACAGCTGATGGGAACCTGAAAGTGAGTGTTCCTCCTGCCTGAGGACTCCAGCCACACCCGTGTTCTCTTGTTGCCTCGCACCTGTGCTTGCTGATGGGAGAGGAGGCAGCAGGGCACACAGCGTGGTCTGTGTAACAGTGTCAGGTTTGGGGAGAGCGTGGGAGCAGCAGGTGAGAATGAACCCATGGCCCCTGTGGAAGTGTCACCTAGAGTCCTTCTTTTCATCTGTCTTTGAGCTTCTACAGCTTCTGGTTTATTGGGCTCCCCAGGATCAATATATGCTTTGCCCAGTGCCCACTGTGGTTGGCCCCTTCCACCAGTATAGGGCTGAGCGCTGAAAGTAGCATCTGTTAGTCATGTCTGACAAACATGTCCTGTGTGCAGCCCTATGGGGCTGCCAAGGCCCATTCTCATTAGGGCTGTACAAACTCACAAGTGAGATCAAACAAAAATGCAATGTGTGGTGACACACAGTTGCTTGTCAGATGCATGGCTGGCCAGGCAGTAAGGGGGTGGACCTTGAGGAAGAACACCAGGGACCTCAGCTAGCTTTGAAGGGGGCGGGTAAAAGAGGTAGAGGGAGCGGAGGGTGCATGTGTGGGGTTCACACTGATTTGGCTGGAGCAGATTAAAGTCCGGTATGGGGAGACCACTTTGTAGAGGCCTTTGGTTGAGAATGTGTTCTTCTGACTTAGGGCTCCGTGTAAGGTTTCTGAATAGGGAGAGACATGATTGATCCCCCATCTGTGTTTTAGAAGAATAACCTACAGGTTGGATGTGAGGATAGAAAGACTGATTAGGTGGCCATGGGCAATGCTGAAAGGGTAAGAGTGTGAGGTGCAGGTGGGAGGGAGGACTCAGCTTGGGAAACATGAGCAAGGAGGAGAGGAAGGTGCTGTGCGTGGTAGCTGCTGGGCCTTGAGGTCTGTTTAGGTTTGGGAGGTGGAGGTAGGTTGGGTTTAGATATATCCAGTGTGACATCCAGCAGGTTGCTGAGCAGATTGGAGATTTTTCTGGGCCAGAGAGAGAGAATTGCCTAGGCAGTGGGTGATATTTGTATCCATCAGTGTCCCAGCTGGAAATGGAGGTGAGATTGTGACAAGAATGAATAAATAGGCTATCGACAGTGTCCCAGGGTCAGGCCCCAAGAAGGGCTGTTGAGGCCTCAAGGATAAGCAGCAGCAAATGGTTGTTTCCACCTGGGCGGGAAGGGGAAGCAGAGGAAGTGGTGACAGTGGGGCCCACGAGGGCTGGAGCCTTGGAGAAGCATGTTAGCTGCGGAGTAGGAAGCAGCTGGTGCCAGAGATGTCAAAGCAGGGAGGAAGCAGGGGCCAGCTAGCGGGGAGCCCACCAGGTGATGACCACAGGGCGAGCCCCCTGGCTGCAGAGAAAGGCAGAGAGTGGGACCTGGGAGGGGGCGAGGAATGAAGAACATGTGCATGGTGTGGTCATTCTGCCTTCTGTCTTCAGCCTTGTTGGAATCATCTCTTTGAGTGATCCCTGCCCTCAAGGGCTTCTCACACATTCCCCTCCGTGGCCACAGTGCCTTGTGTAGAGCTGGCATGTAGTAGGTGCCTTGGGAAGTCCAGTTTTGCTTCTTGCTCTTTTGTCCCCTCACTCCTCTGTACAGCACCTCTCTCCCTCATTGCCAGGGGTCCTGCCTTGAGCACGATTCTGCCGTGGGAGGCCTGACACTGGTGCTCCACGCTGGGGACACAGGGGATGGTGTTAACTGCTCAGAGGCCAGGGACAAGCCTCAAGGAGGCGTGTTGTCCTCACCCCCACATAGGTCTGCCTGTTTGGGAACTCCGAGGTGTCTCTGCGGGATCACCTGCGGGCAGGGGCTTCCGAGCAGGAGCTGCTGAGAATCATCGGGGCTGCTGTGGGCAGGAAGAAACGGCAACACGCAGGTGAGGGCGGGATGGGAAAGGCCAGGCTGGACGGAAGTGGGCCACTGTCCGCAGAAGGGGGGCTCCAAGTTAGGGATGAGAGGACCAAGGGGTGCCTCAGAAGCAGCTGGTGGGGCTCAGTGTTGTCCCCACTACCACTCACTCCTGCTGGACCTCCAGTCTAGGAGCGATGGTTCTCCTTCTCTGGGGAAGTTGTCCTAGCAGAGGCTGCTCAGGACCCGGGATCCAGAATTCTCATGGGCTCGCTGGGTGCTGGGCACAGGGCGGGGAGTGTCACTGCTTCTTTCTCATACCACGTGTTGTCTTCTGATAGGGAGGGCAGGGTCCTGTCCACACACTGTACCCAGGGCTCTGCCATGCGTAACCCACAGGGGCATGTGTGGCTCTTTCGTGAGGGTGCTCACAGCTGCTGCACGTGCACAGGGGACAGGGCTGTCAGAGCACGTTCATCTCAGTGAACTCTCCTCTCCCTGCCCCCTCTCCCCCTTCCCTGCTTTTCCCTCCCCACCCCCCATCCTTCCGTTACCCCAGGCATGTTCAATATTTCCCAGATGAAGAACCGGCCCATGATCCTCATCGGTGGGTGACCCATCAGTACGTAACCACTCACCCTTGGCATTTGGAGATCCTGTGGGGTGGGGCCCCTGCCATAGTCACCCCCCAGCTCCTGCATTTCATCCTGATGTTCTCTTCATCTTTATCCTATCCCTCCTTCATGTTTCATACCCCGTTCAAGCCTTTACTGTTTCTTCTCTGTTGATGCTCTCCCTCACTATACATGCCACAGCAAGTCAGAGCAGTGGGTCCCCTAAGTTTAATAATCATTAAATTAGTTGATGGAGCTCCTCGTTAAAAGAGGGACCTTTTCCTCAGCCCTAGAATCTCCAAGTTTGGATACAATTTTAAATGTCCATTCCCCTAGCAGCATGGAACAGTCTGTGTGTGTCTATGGACTGCTAGCCCCCTTGGTAGATGTATAACTCTGCGTCTGTGCCAGGCAGAGCTTCAGGATGCAAACTAATCATGTTACTCATGTTTTCAGGGAGGAGACAGCCAGGATTTCAACTTTCCAGTCTTAACTCTCAGGAACGTCTGTGCATAGGACATAGCTAATGTGCACAGGATGCTTCAAACTCAGACACCCTTTTTTATAAAGCCATATGCAGTGTCCTGCCCCAGGGAAGCGGGCTGGCCCCGACGAACTGTAGGGTACTGTTGCCCATCTGGCACAGTGCCCAGGTTAGAGAGGTGAGACCTGTCCCCTTGCTCACATGCAGATTTGGGCCCCCTGAGTTGTACTATTAGACAAAAGAAAGCAGTGAGAAAAACTAGAGGAAAGGATTCTTTTGGAGCAGGGTAGGGGAGTGGCTCAGGGGAAAGCAGACTAGAGAATGGGCCAGAGAGGGCCCAGGGACCACCTTTGCACACAGACCACCCCAAGACAGCTCACCTCTGGGAAGCAATGAGCCATGGGAGCACTCCATTGGGGGTAGACTTTATCATCCTTTTCCCCACCCCCAGCTGCATGGTCCTGGTTGGGCCTTGCCCCATGCTGGTTCCCCTCATGGCAAGGACTAGGGGTGCCTTGATGGCTTCCTTCTGAAGGGAGGTCGTACCTCTGACATTGACATGTCGGGGCTCAGAACATGGTGGGAAGCTAGATGTTACTTTCTGCTTCATACAGAATTTTGTGACTCTCAGGGAGATTGAGTAACTAGCCTGGTCATCTGCTTTCTGTAATATAAATCTGGCAGTTGCCCACAACAGGGCCCTCAGACTTTCACATATGTGTGAATCACATGGGGATTTTGTTATTTCAGATTCTGATTCGGGAGGTCTGGGGTGGGATCCTGTGTCTCCAGTGAGTTCTCAGAGGTGTTGGTGCCGCTGGCCCATCACCACCCTGTGAGTAACAAGCCTGCAGGGTCCCCAGACCATCTGGGCCATTGGAATCAGCCTGTCAGTCTTGTGTGCACTTGGGATGTGCTTGAGGGAACTTGAAGGACATGATTCAAATAGATGAAATACTTCCCTTAGTACATTGACTGTTAACTGACTGACTGCCTTAACTGTTCAGAGAAAATGTGGAGGTGAAAAGAAGTATAATTGGCAGTGTAGGGTGAGACCCAGCTACAGGGATGTTGAAAGTTCATTTGATCCAGGCTTCAGGCTTCACACCTTAGTTGTTTCCTAAGAGAACCTGGGAAACAAGAAGGTTCTCGTGAGGAAGGGAGCCCAGGAGTAACCCCAAACCAGCGTTGCACGGCCATCACTGGTGAGAAGGGCTGTGAACCTGCATGGTGGGTGCCTCCTATCTGTGTGTCTTCTACTTTTGTCTGTGCTTTTTGTTCTCCATTCCTCTTTCCCCATTGTGAAAGAAAGAACTTGAGGATGGGGGACAGGGAGAGGGTCGGGGTCTAGAAGTGGGAAAAAGAATTGCCTTTTGGACTTAACTCTTTCTTTTTCTTTATGCCTTCTAGAGTTATTTTTGATGCTCCAAGATTCTCCACCAGCCAATCCAAGCATTTCCTCGTGGGACCCCTTCCATGTTCAGGGTCTGAGACCCAGAGTGAGCTTCTCCAGCCAGATGGCAACTCTGTGGAAAGGATGTGGGGTCCCCCAGGCCCCTTCCCTAGCCCAGCAGTGGCTGGGGTCTGGCTCCTCTTGGAGACATTACACTTCCCATGCAGACTCAGATGCCAACTCAAAGTGCCTTAGCTCAGTGTCCCAGGCTCCTGCCACACCCCCAAGACCCCTGCCAACCTCAGAACAACTAACCCATGTGGACTCGGAAGGACGAGCAGCTATGGTAGATGTGGGTGGGAAGCCAGACACAGAGCGGGTGGCTGTGGCCTCAGCTGTGGTCCTCCTGGGGCCTGTGGCCTTCAAACTTGTCCAGCAGAACCAGCTAAAGAAGGGAGATGCCCTGGTGGTGGCCCAGCTAGCTGGAGTCCAGGCGGCCAAGCTGACCAGCCACCTGATTCCTCTGTGCCACCATGTGGCCTTGACCCATGTCCAGGTACAACTGGAGTTGGACAGCACACGCCATGCTGTAGTGATCCAGGCGTCTTGCCGGGCTCGGGGCCCCACTGGCGTGGAGATGGAGGCCCTGACCTCTGCTGCTGTGGCCTCGCTCACCCTGTATGACATGTGCAAGGCTGTCAGCAGGGACATCGTGCTGGAGGAGATCAAACTCATCAGCAAGACTGGGGGCCAGCGGGGAGACTTCCATCGGGCTTAGAGCTCCTGCCCCTCTCACCCATGGCTCGGCCAGGTCTAAAGATGTGGTATAGCTAGGGCAGAGGGTCAGACGTCATGTTCCCTTAATCCTAGTCACTGTTTACCTTCACCAGTAGGGACCCAAGCTCAGCCCACTCTACTACTAGGTCCGCTGCCAGATGATCTCTGATGACCTCTGAGGCTTCCTGCACATAGAGAGGACGCCACCAGGCCCCTGAGCCTTGCAGAACACTAAGGTCACAGGAGGGTGTTCCAGTGAGCAGTGCTAGATAACCGAAAAATCACATTCTGTTATTTGTGGACTATTTCAGACTACCAGTTTCAGACAATCCAACCCATAACTTCTCATTTTGGGATTTCTCTTCTGCTCTCCTGGGGAAAGAATAAGGGCTCATTAAGCAGAGGAACCCACTTTGAGGAGGGGAAAGCACAAGCTTGCATAAAGAACAGGTCACAGCTGCTCCCAGTAGCTTTGATTCCCAAGCTGTGAGGCTGCAGCCCCACCCGGTCCCACCTTCTCCCCCATCTTGCCTTGTGCTTGAGCCTGTGTCCACCAGGCTTACAGGCTTTCAGCTTTATCAGTTGCCCTATCTGCCCACGCCCTTCCTCAGGCCCTCTCTTCTTACACAGGAAGCATGCACCTGGGCTGCAGTCCTAAGGGCTCTGACGGACCACACAGCCCACACCTGGCCCTGCTCTAGGCCATTCCCCATTCCTCTTCATTCTGGAATATATCAGGGAAAGAAGAGGTGAAGATTGCCTTCACCTTCATAGCGCACAAATAAAGCCACGACGCCTACTTTGCAGATGTGAGAACAAGGACTGTGTCTGTGGAGGGCCCCGAGCTGCTTAAGTCTCCCAAAAGGTTTACCCCTGGGGAGGAGAATAGGAGGATAAATCCTGGAAAGGTATATGGGGCATATTCTCTATATGTCCCCCTGTGGGAGAACATAAAGTGGAGCCAGAGGACATAGAAATACACCGTCTGAAAGTAAATTTTGAATGGGGGGAGGCGGTGTTTGAAGATCACTGCTGTATTGGGTCAGTATAGTTAGAGGCCCCTGATGCTCACATCCCCAAACACTGGTGTGAACTCCTGGGCCCTCTAATGTAGATGGGTATTTGTGGGTCTGTCCTTCCTGCCTTCCCTCTGCCTTATGCTGAGGGGTGCTGGCAAAAGTCAACCAGCTCTCTGGAAAAGTGTCCATGACATAAATACTCCCACGTTGACCAGTTTCAAGCCACCAATATAATTCTAAATGGCTTGCAAATCTAAATGTAAACAAGTTCTGGTGGAGTGCCAGCACACCACAGGCTGTGCCAGTTCCCCAGTGCACCCAAGACCCCTCATGGGAAGAAGACACAAGTTTCGAAGCATGCTGGGTGAGGATGGTAAGGATTTAATATTTTTTAGTATTAGAATATATTCTTATAAAAAAAAGGTGCAGGTGAAAAGGACACTGTACGTTTTATCCACTAGCCTCATTTGTCACATGAGGCAGCTGATGAGAGCAGCCTTGGCATGAAGGCATCCCTGGTAGGGGTTGGGGAAGGTGGTCACAACTCTTTAGTTGGTAGAAATGGGATGGGGGTGGGAAAGCCTGCACCAGACCCTTCCCCATCCATCTGGAGAATTTTCTCCCACTGCCCTAAAACTTTATTTCCACACAGGGGAGGGGGAATAAGTGCTGCTGATGAGAAGGAAATAGGTTGCATTAGGTTGACAATGAATTTTACATTGGACACAAAATTAGACAGCTGGAAAAATGTTCCCAAAGGCGGCAGGAGAGGTGGGAAGGGCATAGGGAAACAAGACCAAGGAACACATTAATTAAGAGGCTGAGACATTTAACATATCAAGGACCCACGCAGCCACCCCATTGGGCACCAGCCCCTTCCTACTGAATTGACTGCGGTGGTCCATGGTCCAAGGCACTGTTGAAGATCTCGCTGCAATGGCATCTAATACCAGAGCCACTGGCCAAATCCAGGAGATAATAAATAGAGAAGAAAAAATCTTTGGGGGTGAGAAGGCTGAGTTCTGGAACGATGTATGTGTCCTCTGTAAACAGTTAAAAAACAAACCACTTTTCTGAGGATTGAATGTGTCTTGAACAGCTTCCATATTCCTTGTCTTTCCTGGTGCATATCCAATCTTCCCTCCGGGGGTAGGAATGCCAGGATTTAGGGATGCTTGTCACACTGGAGTGCTCCCCTGTTCCCTACCCCATGGAGGTTAGGTCGACTTCAGCCTGGCCAGTTTGGGAGAGGACCTTAAGAGGCCTCACCCACAACCTCCCCATCATCCCAACACCTGCATCTCGCAGTGGGGCTTTCAGGGGTGCAGATGGGTACGGTGAAGCTCTCTGCAGCTACTCTTCCTAGAAGCCTTCATCTTGCCCTCACCTGAGCTCCAGGATGGCCTCTTCACACCTGTGCTGGCCAGGCTTGCAGGTTCTTCCCACCAGAACACATG